CTCTTTTAACGCGACAAAATCCAAAACTGCCATCCAGTTCTCGGATAAATTTGATAAATCGAATAGGATAATTTATGAATACGATTTAGGTGTAAAAATCATCTTAACTATTAAATACGCTGGTTAATAATGTATATATATATATTTGTAAAATAATAGAAAATTGCTTACTGTACACATAAAAAAAAATATAAGCATAAATAATTAATAAATTATCCAGAAAAAAATGTATAGGACACATCCAATTTTTACTACTAAATTGCCCAATAATGAACACGGTTATAAAAATCATTAAAATTAATATATAGTTTAAATTATTAAATCTGTTTCGACTAAAAATGCTTTTGTTTTTAAATGAATCAATCAAGTTGCTCATGACAATGACCTTCGCCATGCTAATTTCAACATTTAGGTCAGAAATGCGTGTAAAAACAAATCAAAAGAACCTTTCGTAACTGATTAAAAACTATAATAAACACTAATTTTATTTTACTTTGCCAATTCTGTACAAAATAAACAATTTGAACAATACTTTTCCACCAGCGGTTTCGCCCTGTGGTTTTCCCGTTTTTGCAACATTTTATATTGCTGCTCCACTCCTATTAGTCATAGCGTGATGACCTATAGCCTTCCTCGATAAATGATCTATTCAACACAAAAAAACAATTCGAACTAGTAGTTCCTGAGTATTTTTTGTCGTGTTTTGTTTAGTGTTTGTTTGAACGCATCAACCAACTTTTCAGCTTTATAATATTATTGTACAGATATTTAAAGCAGAAGCTGCTACTTATGGTATTCTGTAGAAATAGCCTTGAATTCGACGTCGACAACAGCGTTGTTCTCGGCACAACGGTAAGCGCATTCGGTCTGAGATGCGGAGTTTAAGCAACTATCGCAAATAGGCCGGTTATTGGAGGGGTAACCAAAAATCAATATAAACAAATCGAGTTACTCCGCCTTTTGGCCACCAAGCGCTAAATATGCCTTCCAAAACATGGAGGTGGGTTTTGGAAGGCACATTAAGCGGTTGGTTGGTGGCTACATTTGCAGTTGTTTATCATCAGCAATAATAATACGCACACTGTTGTGAATAGGCCTCCCTCATAGATCTCCTAGACGATAGGTCCTGCGCTGTCTGTATTCAGCGGCTTCCCACAATCCACCACTTAGAGTCCACTTATTAAACATCGTCCGGTGCGTAGTCGCCATTCCAGAACATTTCCGCCCCAACGGCTATCGGTCCTTCTATATATGCAATCGTTAACACCCACCAATCCGCACTAGGGAAAGCCTGTGCCCCAGCATTGGGGACATTAATAATCTGGTGACAAAGTTAAGTTCATAGAGTGAGTTAATATCTTACGAGTATATTAATAAAGGAACTTCTCGTAACCAATGTCAGACTTTAAAGTGGTAAGATTTAGATACCTACATTCTTTACTTGAAATTGTGTGGTAAGATAAACTAGGATACAATATAAGACAGCTTTGATGAAGACTAATTAATTTTGAGCCTCGTATCTTCCATCTTATATTAATGAGGCCGATAAGGACATCTATTGGAATGAAATTAAATGAAAAGAAAACTAATATTTTATTAATTAGTTTGCTAACCATTACAAGTTTTTGCAAATCTGCTCTTACTTCCTTACCATTAAATTCAATTAATATTTCATATTTTTAAATTTCAAATCTGTAATTACAAGAGTGCTAAATCCATCTTCACAAATTATAACAGAAATTTTATTTACATTTACTTTTTTATAAATAACTTACTTAATTTTTTCTGTGCACAGCAAAATTTACCAATGAATTTCTTTAAGAGCGTTGAAAGTAAACTATCATTAGTTAAAAATTCGTAAATAAGTTTCTTTTTATCTTTTGTTTGTTTCGTTCAATACGACTTTCAAGGTTACTTTCTTTACTATCAAACAACATTTACATTTATTTTTATTCATTGCTACTAGAACTAGTAGGAAGTTTTATAATTTTATTCAAACTATAACCAAAAATATTGATGAATCATATATGTACCCGCAGACATTGTAAAGCTCGACGCCAATTTAACTACCGGTTGACCTTGTTACAAAACTCAGAGGTCTGTGTATGTTTAACAATGCTAATTTTCCATAGGTTGATGAAATTGTTTATTAATAACGTGATGAAATAGTTTATTAATAACGTGTTTTTTGTCTCTTGATCCAATACCAAAAATTGATCGACTGAATATCAGTTGAAATAAAATCACCCAGTCACGTGTTGCCAACTTCATACAACTTTGGGTCTTTCAAAAGAGTTGTGAAGTGGCTCTTTAGCTGGCCCGCAAGAAGGTTGCCGGGAGTAGTTTCAACTTCTGACAACTATGACTATTATTGGACTGTAATATCGCTTTCTATCAGATGTAATGCAGTCAATTTGTCGTGCCACAATATAAAGAAATCATGTTAATGTAAAAACACAGACGTTAAATTATACAATCATATTTTTTTTATCTACGTGACCATCATCGTCAGCTCTTTTACGTCCCCACTGCAGGGGCTCAGGCTTTCCTCATGGATGGTTAAGGATGGGCCATGACCCTCCACGCTGGCCCAATGCGGATTGATGGGTATTTAACGACTGAAAATGCAGCTGGAACCAACGACTTTACGTGACTTTCGAAACACTAGCTACTCCAGCGATAATATTTTTTGTCATCCATCCCTTAACCGACCCTTGCGTAAGTTGCTTAACACTACGCCACCGAGTAAGGCAAGGCATTATTCTGTGCCTTAGAATTTTAAAATTGTATGTGTGCTATATCGCTTGTCATTAACTTAACAATACTTATTTGAATTGAAATTGCCTGTGTCGTATACAAAATAAATGATTGCTCAAAAAGATTTAACAAACAATTTTAATATCATATCTATTATGCTATTATAGGAGCAAATATTTAGGTTAAATCAGTCATAATAATCAGAACAATAGATAGTAAAAGAAACAATGCTGTTTCAAACAGTAAAATGGCAAATGACAGCACAACAGTATTCTGTTGAAAACTTTTTAGAAAGAACTGTTTTTTAAGTAAGGAGAACATTGTATTATAAAATTTATAATGAGAACGCCTGTTAATAAATAATAATTTTCTCTTAAACAGCATCCATCAAAATGCAATTCGTCTCAATATTCTATATTTCAATTATTGCGTACCAACAAATTAATTTATGACATCATTTTTTACAAAAGAAGTATTTTCCAGATGATGTAATGCATAAATTACCTTCATGATGTAAATTGTTTTACTGGGAATTTTATTTGCTGTTAGTTATTACATTTAGAAGGCAATATAAACAATTATAGGCACAAGTATCTTTGATTAGTATAAAAATAGTTTTTATAGGTACCTAAAGTAATTGTCAATGGCAGCGATTTGAATTTAAACAAATGTTAAAGCTAACAGATAATAAATAAAATTAATAATACGGTTACAATATTAGATTTATTATCACTAAAAATAATTGATGTATAAATATGTTGAAATCTTATTGTCAGACCAATATATCAATTATCATAAATAAGATATCAACACTACAAAAAATAAAAAAGTATCTTTTTCAATCTGCAGATTAATAATGAAATTCTCAACAAGTCATAAAACAATTAATTATTGTCAGTAACAAAAAATATTTCAGTTGTTAATAGCAAAAAAGTTATCAATTTCACAATTCATTCATTATGAAAAAAGTAATAGACTTATATATTAGGTTTATGATGACGTCAAAGTTCTGTCCTAATGGAAGATAAAGTAACGTGAGTTAAGTATATTAAACTATGACCAGATATTAAATTGTAGTCAGATTTTATGCCTATGTCTACTACTTTTTAAATAAAGAGGCATATTCATTGATCGATAGACTCACATTCTAGTTGCGAGACAAGTTTTTAATACACTCGCTGTTTTTCAGCGACTTCGTCCGTGTAAATTATAGACTGTCACCCAGTTGCACAAACGTTCATTAAAATTGCCATTAGCTTAAAACGACATTACCGATTCAAATTTTCAAGTTTAGAACTTAAATAAGAGCATAAAGTAATGGCAGATATTGCAAATAAGCGTATGTCACCTGCATATGTTGTGAGCTTTTAATTAGGTGAAAGAATTTTCATGATCGAATCAGTATTTCCGAAAATTACTCCCCTACAAAACTTTACCTCTTTATGATATTAGTATATATAGGTCAACTATTCACACGTAACTCGATTTTTGCCAATTTAGACCTTATAGGTAATCATGAATTCATCGTCGACATAGCTTTAGAATAAAATTAGTTTAAGAAGTGGTAATTTCTTACAACCTCGCCAGAAAGCGTGACAGACTGACAAACTGACTTTCACATTTATGATATTAGTATTGTTTGATGAAAATAATTACAAATGAAAGACAATTCGGAACAAAACCTTGTGATTAACCATTAGGCTGAATTCGGTAACTCCCAACTTAATCGTAAAGGGTTGCAAAAATAATCTCTCGGAAACCTGATGATTTTTCTATAGAACCGAATCCGGGAATCGCTGGTCCAACAAATAGTTTGTATACTGAGATGTTCACTTGTCTATAGTTCTGTATATGAAATGGGGCAAATTGAATATTTCCTGTGAAGATCACTCACGTTACTGAACCATCTACCAATGAGCATCAAACGTGCCTTAGAGTATTTATTAATAGTATTTAGTTAAGTAACATCATATATACGTATGAGTGAGTTTGTTTGCAAGAATTGTCAAGTGAAATAGTTAAAAGTATTATAATTAGAATGATTGACAATTCACTAAATATTTAGAGCTATATTATGTATAATATACAAACGGTATCTCTGAAAACCTGAAATATTAGAGGTATATCTGGCTACGCCGTTCAGCGATAAGTTTTTAAAAACAACTATTGAATTGAATTGGATTTACTTTAATTTAAATATAATACATTTTTATTATTTTTTATTTACAGATTTAAACCTGATAATGACTATACAAAGCATGACCGTTACTGACGCTGGGAATGCCACAGCCAAGAAATGGTGCAGGGGGTAAGTGCAAACATGGTGGCAGAATAATAAATAAGTATTACTAACATTATAAAAGGAAAGATTTTATTGTTTATTAGTTCGCTTTTTTCTTGCATTGTCTAGTCTCCAAAACTACTAGGCCCAATTTAAAAAATATTTCAGCTATGGGAAGTTACATCATACGCGAGTGACATAGTTATTATTAACGCAGGCGAAATCGCGAGACAGCTGATAATAAATCATTTATAAAACCCTCTCAGACGCATATAATATCTATAGATAGTATAAAACAAAGTAGCTTCTCTCTGTCTGTACGCATAGATATTTTAAATTACATAATACGGATTTTAATGGAGCAAAGACAATTTATAAAAAAAAAAATCATTTGCTTCAAGTACAAGCTAAGTACTGCATATTAGGTAACTAATCTAAATAAATACAAATACCAACTTTTGTTAAAGAAAGGCTAATCTTGAAAGTAATTATAATAATAATTTATTTATTTATTTCTTCCACAAAAAACACAAAGTTGATTAATATACGTTCACAGATTTTCTCTAATTTGTATTAACAATTGAAGTTATTTCTAAGATAAGAGAACAATGCTTGAACAAGTTCAGAAAAATATGCAAAAAAAAACGTAGGCAAATAACTATGTCTAGATTGGTATTGCTACACGTTACTTAATTTTGTCATATAGAACATTCAGATAAACTTTTTATAAAGACTCGTTTCATTATTTTTTTTTTTTTTTTTTGTGAAATAAACGATTTTATTAAAACATTATTAACACATTATGACTTGTCATCAATTCGATGAGATAACGATAGTTGTATATTTCCATTGATTTTGATATTTTGTTTTAGTTAGAAATATTTTCAAACAAAATCAAAAGAACATAAATCAATAGTGCCATATTAAGTATAGTATAATAAACTCGGCCAAATTTTCGTTCTGACCGTACGTGATAATAACTCTTTTGAGCCATCAACATTTTCAATTAAATAAAAACAATATTTTTTAATTAATAAGATCATAAATGCGATAACAGAAAATAATATGACCGGTATCCATTCATATATTTAGTGAGTCATGATTTACATTGGCTTTACAATAAAACCCCTTTTCATTAAAAGCCGTAACATGAACACAACGTGTATGTTTGTTTTATCAACACATCTCTTTATAGAAGGCTCGACCTGATTATTAACCAAATAAACATATAACAACAATAAAATTATTCGCTTACTAGGTGACCCGACGATTCGTCCTGTCTAACCCTATAATGACAGTCATTTCTGAGTCCCTTCCATATTTTCACATTCCGTAAAAACCTTATTCAAACACTAATTAAAAATGTATCAAAACGGGCCTTATCTTGGTTTATTATTGATCTTTAACGGTAATTTTTTATGCAATAGTTACATTGCAATAATTATTGGTAAACGAATTGCATTTACTGTTAGTTTAGGTTAGTTTAGTTCCTATGAAAAAATCATAGCAAAGAAGGCAAAACTATAAAACAAACTAATCCTAACAAACTAATGTAAACAGATAAATACGGGAATAAGTAAAAATAAAAAAAAATATTTCGCTGCCGAAAATAAGAATAACTTTTACTGCCATATAAATATCTATGCAACAAGACAATTTGAAGTCTCCGACCTCTGTGCTAGATATAACCTGAGTGACAGAAGTTAGAAAATCTAATTACTACTAGTCCTAATGCGCAATACATTAATAAACAATAACGTATAACACGTATAATAGTTAAGTGTGTATATAAGACATATTAACTGAAACAAAATTAGTAAACAAAACTACATTATATCACTTAACTGGCGTGTTGCAATCAAACATAGCACTGAAGTTAGCAGACCAATCAGAAAGCAGGATGCATGAACCTTGCGATAATGCGATTTACGCGTCAATTTTCGCACAGGCGTTAAATGCCAATTACTTACGTACGTATTGCGTGCATTCGGTCAATTATATTAATATCATAATAAGATCCTAATCGTATATTCTCATACACCCAATCCTGAAGGGTTAATCCTTCACCAGATTACCTTAATTGTACATTTCAACATTTCTCTGACTCTCTCACTATCCACTCCTCTTTTTCAGACTGGCTTTATGACTAACTCATTTACCTACTGTCCAATCAATTCGACTGTGGAACAGCCTCCCCGATTCTTTCAAGAGATCACTAAATAGATTGGTTTTTAAAAAAACACACCTTTCTTTTGCAAGGCATGTGAACATTATCATCATCATTTGCTTATATGTATTTTTATATTCGCTGTGTATATCTATATGTAATTATATGTAAGTTTACTTATATTATTTGTATGTTATATTGTGTAATACTATTTTGTTTATTTATAATTTATTGTTACTGTTGTTGTAGTTTTAAATTACTTACATGGTTTTATTGCTTATATACTACCATCGCGTTTGTCATTTTTTCCAAAAGATGACCAAAAGTGGATGCTATTATCATTAAGTCCGCCTCTTGTACCATGTTTGTATTTGTCAACAAAGTCTAATAAAACACATGTTATACGACTATATTATGCTCTGACTTTAAAGCAATTGGTATTTTATAGAAAAACAAATTAATCTTTTATTATGCTCTGACTTTAATTGACACTTCATAACAATTGGTATCTTATAGAAAATTAATTGAAAGTTTTAACTATATCAGGTGATTAAGTCGAAATTCAATCCCGAAGGGTTAATCCTTCACTATCACCATCGAGTTCCAGACTGATTTTATTACAAACTACCTAACCCGGCGAACTTCGCACCACCATATTTAATTTCTCCTCTCGACTGAGACTGAGGATTTTTTTATACATAAATTTTCTTATGTACGAACCTTGTCCTGAAAATAAGGAACACATAAAAAAAGAAAGGACATTCATTTTTTTAAGTATTTTATTATACTATACCTCCAGCTAGTGCTGATCCGGCGAACTTTGTTCCGCCTAACAGGCAATGAATTAGCAGATTTATGATTTTAAAATGAATACAAAATTATTAAATGGTAATTTAAAACAAACAATAGAAAAAGACAACATTACTTCTTCTACTTCTACTTCTACATCTACATTACATTATTTCTCGTTCTGTATCACATCGCGAATAACATAAAAACATATTAAACAGAAAAAACATTAAAACTAAATTCAAACTATATTTAATTGACAAACTAGTGACGACTAAATAAGCAACTTTTAACCCGTAAAAAATAATTACAAATGCATGTTTCAGTTACCAAAACTTATTAATTTATAACAAATATATTACAGTACATATATATATATATAATATTTACATGTTAATTGATATAAATATAACCACGTTATTTACAGTTCTGTCTCTCTTACTAACGTACTATTTATTTAGTTATATATTTATCTAGTTTTCTATAAACTTTATACAATAAGGCACTAAAGAAACACCCGTATATACATTATGCGAGACTTTAACATGTTAGTTGCTTAGCGTGCAATAAACGGACTGATTGTGAGTGCGAATCGGCGGTAAATGAAAAACATTTGTAAACTTACATTTGTACCGTCCAGATATATTATTGTGTTTTTAAGTTGAATAAAAAATCTGCCAGTTGCAATTTATACAAATCAAAATTATCATTTTGTTGAGTCTTTTGTAATTATTACTTTTATTGATAAATAACACATATGTCATAAAAATCAGTTCAGCCTATCTCGAGTTATAAATGATGTAACTAACACGACTTTCTTGTTTATATATGTTTATAGATCAGTATAGAATAGCATAGGTAAACTCTTTTTAAGTATTATTAACCTATTTTATAGAAATCTTAAAAATAAAAAATAATAACACTTATGACACACTTTGGGAGTTAAGTATAAAAACTTTTTCTAGATTCCTCTAAAGTTACTTGGGTGATTCAATTTTCATAATCGCCGTTAAATTAATTAATATATTTAATAGTCACGTGAAATCTGCGTATCCTCGCCGTGTTTTAATTCACCACGTGATCACGAAAAGTACGTACCGATCACATGATATAACTTTAAAATATAATAGCAACAGGTTTCAGAGTTTTTATAGCACTCCAAATAATGGTTTGATCCTTCGCATTTCTTATATAAGATCATTATAAGCTCTGGCGTTCTCTAAACAGTCTTTTTTTAATTTATTATAGATTTACCAACATTTGTTTACCCCAATACCGATAAATATAAAAGAATTATAATAAGGGTGTTGCAATTCAGTGCAACAAAGATGTACTTAAAGGGAAATATACCATGTAAAAAGCTAGTTTACTACTTTTTTTGTTATAAACGAATAGTCCATTATTAGAAGTAACAGCATGTATGCGATTAATTATTTTGGAGATACGGTGCAGTTTTTGGAATTGCTGCTAGTCGCCAAAGTCGCTCCACACGAATTCAAGCCACGATGTAACATCACGCCGCCGATAATACGGTAGCGAAAAACATACGAGCATAATATAAGGACAATCTTAGGTATTTGTGCATTTGTTAACAATTGTTATAATTAATGCTGTTAGCTTTTATGTAACTTATTTAATGCCATATGTATTTAAAAAAATATATAATAATTTCCCTCTCTGTTTTTCGTTCGACAAACATTTTATCACTCACTACACTACTAACTCTAATATACAGGTTATTTGCAATTAGACCGGAGCCTTTTAAGGGGTCGTAGGGGAGATTATTTATAATTATTTTCAGCTCATAACCCTGTATATATTTACGATATATATACATATAATACATAGAAATAAAACGTACGTTGAGATCTTTTAAACTACACAACGGGTTCTAATGCAGTATTCAACAATGCACAGAGTGCTTCTAGATGCAGGAAAAAAAAATAGTTTTTTTTATAATTTTACATTATTACGTAATTTCTATAGATATGTGAAATACCACATTTTTTTTATGAATTCACAAGTAACAAATAATATAATAACTACTAATACACGTGGAATGCTCAAACAT